CTAGAGTCATGTAGAGAGCCTCTAGCAGCCTGGACTTAATTTTCTGGGTGATTTTTCTATTTTGAGTATTCACTATATGTTTATCTTTTTTTCCTACAAAAGTTCTCATCAACTTTTTTATCTATTCATCTGGACTCTAAGAAATACATTAAAAAGAAGAACTTATTCTCTAAGTGGATGCCCAATCGCTATTACAAAGTATGTATGGCAGGTTTAACAAACAGGCTTAATAAAAGTGGTTTCCACCTTGCTTTAATAACTGGAGAGGTCGCTCATGTCCTTGACTAAATAGCAGTTCTCCTATCTTTACTTTGTAGTTTATACTATTATGTTCTATGTACTGATAAAGCTTTTACTATTTACATTTTGAATACCAGCTTTTTAAATCAAAAAAATCAAAATCCTTTTCCCTGTGTTTAGTAAGAGATGCTCTTATTTAACCAATGGCCTATGCTTCTAGTACTTGCCCATTTAAAATTTTATTGCCAATTAGGATTTTTCAACCCTATCTACTAAATTCCTGCATGACAGTGCACCTATTTACATTCTGAAAAGAATTCAGATGCTGTTCAGATGTAAAAATATATTACAAGATTGAAATTGATTACCAATTCATTTACCATTCATTTTTGTAGCAAATGAGTTAAATGGGAAAAAAAATCTGATGAATAGTTTGACAGTTTCCTCTTGCATACGCTAAAACGTAATACACTTCCACTACTTTTGGGCTATTATGGACCTTAACATGCAATGTGACCTTGGTCTGAAAAGCATGTTTGGTTAGCACAGAAACTTAATCATAAGAAGTCATAAGTAGAATCCTTCTTCTTTATGGCCCTTTTTCTAGGACTAGGAAATTTATTGCTTGTGAGACAGGTAGGATATGAACAATGGGCCAAATAGAGTCCAGGGTTATCTCATCCATGTTAAAACTGCTGCTGAAAATCGATGTGACCTCTGCTACACTGTCATCCCAGTTCCCACCCTCTGTGTCCTATTTGTCTTTTGATAGAAGCTTAGATCCGTGTGCTGTCTCTATGTGTCTCTCTTGGGCCAGATTATCAAAATGAATCATTGCCTGCATACCTCTTATATTTCTATTTATTTTCCTGGTGTTGACTAGGTCTGATGAAATATGATTCTTTTTGTGTTTGATCCTCACTGCAGCAAGCAACACCTAATTCAGCTGTGTCGATCTCTTTAAAGAAGAGTAATACTATTTTGAAACTCCAATTTACTGTACAGCAACATTATAAACCATAGACCATGCAACCTGTCTTCATCGTCAATAGTAATTTTCCTTTCAGCCAATTTAATGGCATTTTTTTCATCTTCAAATAGAAGACTTCTAACAAATTTAATGTAGTTATAATTTTGTTTTGTGCATACTAAATGTATTGCTTTCCTTTTCAGCTATCTTGTTTGTAAAGTAACCCTCAGAGTCTCACCACTGAGGTTATACATATGTGTAGGTGATATGTAACAATGAATCCATTATTTTAAGAGCTCTGTCCTTGACACAAAATATTTATTCAGGGAAATGATTATATTGTCTCTGAATCAGCAGGAAGTTAATGTTATAACTTTGTAGCACTTCATTTTATAATAGTAGCTTTTCCAGGCTACATAAATTAATACTTGAAGATTTATAAACATCAGTATAAAAGTACAGAACCTTTCCAGCTGTTATAAATATTGATATATCATCATTATAAAGTAATTCCATCCACTTAATGCATTCATGTGGAGAAGGAGAAAATAGTACTTAAATATAGACATCAAATAATGCAATTGAAGCATAACATTGTGGTTAATTGTTGAGAAATGTACCTTAGAAACCTTAGAGCTACTGCCTAAGACATGTTTTAATAGTGTTTTTATGAGATAATACTTCAAATGAAACCATGTAGCTGAATAAGGTCACAGAATTTGTGATAATGGGCTGGTTCTCTCTGGAATAGTTTAACTCTTCTAAACCTACCACTGACTTTACCAAAAAAAAAAAAAAAGTAGAGAGGCAAATGTCTTGTAAGAGTTTAGGGTTAATTTTAAATAGAGTTACATAACTAGAGTATGAAAATAAACTACAAGTGAATTGTAGAAAACATTTGCATCTGTGAACAAAATACTGTTTTTAAAGCTTTACTAAAAAATAATTTCTGCGAAGTTCTTCTCATAGCTTTCTGTGCTAAAGAAAATTAATAGAGATGGGGTTTTTCCATGTTGGCCAGGTTGGTCTCGAACTCCTGATCTCAGGTGATCTGCCTGCCTCGGCCTCCCAAAGTGCTGGGATTATAGGCGTGAGGAATTAATAAGCTATGAAAAGAGCTCTCAAGAGTGAGTTCACTTTCTCTTGTGTGTCTGACTTGTGCCACATGAGAATGCAGTGAGAAGGTCCTCATCATATTCTAGTGCCTTGATATTTGACTTCCAAGCCTCAAGAATTGTGAGAGAATAAATTTATATTCTTTATAAATTAAAAAAAAAAGAAAATTAATGGTATAGTTCATGCATTTTATTGAATTATTTAAGGTCAATAAACAAATGCTCTTTTTAATATTTGGATTCAAACAGTGCGAAACTGTTGACTCTAATATAATCATATAGCATTTTTAAAATTGCTGTTGGTTTGGAAAAATAAAAAATGTAAAGGTGATATATACTAAGAGCCTTTTATTCAGAGATAGTACTAAGTAATCTCACTGAAGTTTCCCACAAATGAATGGCACAACTTCCCACACAAGAAATTCCACAGCAAACGGTAACTGTTAAATTAATGGGGCTCAAGACTCTGCACACTGCATATGTAGGCTGCTTGCAATTGCAAAATGGAGTCTTAATATATGACAAATCCATATTTCAAACCTACAGGAACCAGAACCAAGAGACCTTTTTTTTGTTGTTGTTTCCAAACCGTATGAAATTGGTTATGTCTAGATTTAAGCCAAGTCTTTTTTGTTGAGCGAGTCTCATTAGAATATATGGAGTCATTGAATTTTTTTTCTGATCAGAGAGATGCATATTTTTTAAACTTTGCCTGTGCTCTCTTGATGAAATTTAGATACTCCAGTGAGCAGCGTAACTGTGTGAGGTGCTATGATTCACCCCGTCGTGCACTGCTGATGAACCCAATTAAGAATAACTGAATTTGTTTCGTTAACATCCCAAGATTACTTTGCAGTGGCAGTTTCTTTTTACATATGCATTTACAGAAGAAAATTTATCTAATTCATACAGGTCATATGAAAGATTGTCAGCCAGAATAACCAAGTACTCAGGGTTCTCAAAGTAGGAGAGGATTCCCTTTATAATTAGGTATATCTGTTTGAAGCAAATATAAAACATATTTATAAACAAAAATTCTATTCATAGCTCTTTATTGAGTAATGAGAATATTGAAGAATACAACATAAAAACAAAAGAGGAGAATAGGTATAACTTGTGATTTTATGTCATATGTGTTATTTTCTGATAAAGGATATTCCATGAAATAAAAAGTAACACTGGACAACAGGTGCTGGAGAGGATGTGGAGAAATAGGAACACTCTTACACTGTTGGTGGGACTGTAAACTAGTTCAACCATTGTGGAAAACAGTGTGGCGATTCCTCAAGGATCTAGAACTAGAAATACCATTTGACCCAGCCATCCCATTACTGGGTATATACCCAAAGGATTATAAATCATGCTGCTATAAAGACACATGCACACGGATGTTTATTGTGGCACTATTCACAATAGCAAAGACTTGGAATCAACCCAGATGTCCATCAGTGACAGACTTGATTAAGAAAATGTGGCACATATACACCATGGAACACTATGCAGCCATAAAAAAGGATGAGTTCGTGTCCTTTGTAGGGACATGGATACAGCTGGACACCATCATTCTCAGCAAACTATCGCAAGAACAGAAAACCAAACACTGTATGTTCTTACTCATAGGTGGGAACGGAACAATGAGATCACTTGGACACAGGAAGGGGAACATCACACATCGGGGCCTATTGTGGGGAAGGGGGAGTGGGGAGGGATAGCATTAGGAGATGTACCTAATGTAAATGATGAGTTAATGGGTGCAGCACACCAACATGGACATGTATACATATGTAACAAACCTGCATGTTATGCACATGTACCCTAGAACTTAAAGCATTAAAAAAAAAAAAAAAAAAAAACACTGGAAACAATCCAAATAGTCATCAACTAGAAAATGTTTAAACACAAGCTAGTACATTCATGAAGTGAAATACTGTTCAGCAATAAAAATAAACCACCGATACCTGCCACAACATGGATAAGCTTAAAAAACATGCTAAGAGAAAGAAGTCAGACACAAAAAACCATGTATTGTAGGATTCTATTTACATGAAACATTCAGAAAAGGCAAACCTTTGGAGATAAAGCAGATTAATGGTTTCTAGGGGCTGAGGTGGGAAAGAAGATTAATTGTAAATGGACATGAGGAGTCTTTATAGGGGAAATTAAGATATTCTAAAATAGATTTGTGGTAATGATTAGACAACTCTAGAAATTTACTAAAAATGAAGTGTATACTTAAAATAGGTGAATTTTATTTTATGTAAATTATGCTTCATTAAAGCTGTTAAAATAATCAAGATAAATAAATTGATTGACAGATTAATAGATTTAGAGAAGAAAAAATAAAATGTTGCTTATGTTTTTCCAGGAAGTGATCTGAGTATTTAACTTATAGATACTCATAAACACATATGTCAATTGTATGTATCTTAAATTTTTTTCTGCAGATTTTATACCTCTTTAGCCATAAGCATTGTTTCAGTTTCACAAGTTCTTTACTGAAATATTTATTTTTTGAAATTAGAGGCAGCTGGAGAATAAATATGACTTCTAATCACAAGAATGTCAGTCATTTAGTTTTAGAAACAAAATCTTTATAGATGCTTGGTAGAGGTGGCATAGTGAGACTTTTGAGCTCTTAATCTGTGAACCTTCTGATATTAATTTTGTTTTTGCAGAAGAGGTACCAGTACAAATTCCAATAATGAAGTCACCCTTGGACAAGATACAGCTGACTCCTGGGCAGGCATTGCCCGCTGGATTCCCTGGACCATTCATTTTTGCTGATAGTCTGTCCTCCGTGGAGACTCTGTTGACCAACATTCAGGTCAACAATATTTCTATAAACAAAATAAATGTAATACAAGACATTAGCACCTACATATATTATTTTATATTTGATAAATTAAAACAGATAAGATGAACTGCATGTCATTTCCTGTACCTTGACAGGGTCTACTGAAAGTGGCTTTGGATAATGCTCGCATCCAGGAGAAGCAGATTCAACAAGAAAAGAAGGAGCTACGACTGGAACTTTATAGAGAGAGAGAAATTAGAGAAAACCTTGAAAGACAACTTGCAGTTGAGCTTCAAAGCAGAAGTAAGTTTTACAAGTTCAATTACAGAGTGAATATTATGTTGGAGGTATTTTCAATACTAACAGAAATATTCTCTGAGATATCTTGGAATTGCCAAAAACAAATGATAAGCTAAGAATTAAGTACTGTGTGTAAACCAAAACATCGCTCTTTATACTAAAACATCACTCTTTATACTAAAAGAAAATGAATTATGTCTGCACTTTGGGCCAGCTGCAGATTTGGAAACATGAGTATTTATTGTTATCTCACAATTTCATAAAGTTCACCTGAATATAAATAATCTAACAATTCCTTGTATATGAAACGCACACCCTTTGCTAGGGACAGTGTTAGATTATGGGATTATAACACGAATAAAAAACAGTCTCTGTTTTGGAAGGATTATGTTTTAGAGAGCTAGTGCAATCGTTTACTTTTAACACAAAGTGGCAAAAGCAGCCATGCCCAGTCAATATGATTATACAGAGAGAGAGTAGTTAGCTTAGTTTGTTGACGGTGGTTAAGGAACACTTCCTGATGCTGACACCTGAATCTGAATCTTGAAAGATCAGGAGGCCAAAAAAAAAAAAAAAAAAAAAAAAAAAAGAAAACCTAAGTGATTTGGGCAATCTAGACAGAGGTATCAGTTAGCAAAGGCTTGGGGACAAGAAACTTCATACATGGATAACTAAATACAATTTATTATAATGTCGTTGAGGTTTTTGAAGTGAATAGTGGAAGATAATGGAGAAAGTTGGGAGTAGAAGCTGCATTATGAAGGACAATTTTAATCATGTGAAAGCTTGGACTTTATCCTGTAAGTGATGTGAAATATTAAAAGATACGCAGTGGAATGATCTGATTTGATTTCAATTAGATCAATCACCACCATGTTGGGAATAGATTGGGGGAGTGCATATAAAACTAGAGAAAAAGAAAACTATGCAAAAGGAGATTGCTGTCATCCAGGCAGTGGTGAGGAGGACTGAATTAGAGTAGCGGAAATAGGGATGGAGACAAAAGAGAAGGAATGGAGATATTTAGAATTGTTCACAAATAGGATTAACTTTCCAACTGTGAGTAGCCACTTGATTAATGAATAAACGAGAATAGTTCATATCAAAACCACAGAGAATTAAAAACTTCACTTTAGTCAATAATTTCCACATCTTCCCTATATTTATCATAAAATACTAAACAGCTGTAAACATGACATTTATGAATTTCAACTTCTTTCCCTTCCCTGTTTACTCTTCTGTGTAGGGGGTCACAAAGCCTAAAATTAGCAAAGAGAGTGGAAAAGACAGGCAAAGAAAAGGTGTGAAAATCCATAATCCAAATATAACTACCTGAACAAAGAAAGATGATTACAGTTGCATGAAATCTACTAACTTTATACTAATTGAAAGTAGCATATTATACTCTGAAATTTATTTTATAAAATGGAAAACATATTATATATTTTCTTAGGGCCTAGGAATCATTGATTTCATTCAAAATGGAAATTTAGTCTTTGCACTTAAAAAGAATTAAGCCCGTTTTGCTTATCTTGTCAAATTCATGAAACACTACAAAGCAAAGACTAAACCATCTTTTTAATGTTTGGAGAAATTGATATATTTCTGATATTTGGTATATAAAATATAATATTATGATTAACAATCATAACTCACATTTCTTTAGTAGAGAGTTCCTTAGTACCAAACATCCAAAAAATTGTATGTTAAATATAATAAGACTCTTAAATTGGCTTATGAAAATCCACTACATATGGTAAAATTGGCTTCTAACTTTTAGGGATCTATTTATTTTGATTTCTGTTCACTGACTTTTTATAGACCCATCAGGTCTGTATTTATAATTCATATCTATTTTTTTAAAAAAGTCCTTAGACATGGTAGGTATAATATTGTATCTATTATCACATTTTCTGTGAAATATTTGTATTTAATAAATTTAGCGTTTATCACAATATAATAATAATACCACTAATACTATTGCTTTCATTATTACTACTACTGCCATTATCATGACTACTAATATTACTAGGGTTAATGCTTATCAAATGTCTAATACGTAGCTAAGCAGTTTTTTTTAGCATTTTATATGTAATGACTACCATAATTATAGGAAACTGCTTTGTCATCTTGATTGATTTATAGAAACTATATACTTCATCTCTCTGAATCTCAGTATCCTCACCTATTACAATAGTTGTTCTAGATAATCATTAAAATTTCTTTTACTCTGTTAAAGATCCCACACCCGGTATACCCCACTTTTAATAACAAAGAATTTACTTTTTTTTTTTTTTTTGAGACGGAGTCTTGCTCTGTTGCCCAGGCTGGAGTGCAGTGGCGGGATCTCGGCTCACTGCAAGCTCAGCCTCCCAGGTTCATGCCATTCTCCTGCCTCAGCCTCCCAAGTAGCTGGGACTACAGGCGCCCGCCAGCGTGCCCGGCTAATTTTTTGTATTTTTTGTAGAGACAGGGTTTCACCGTGGTCTTGATCTCCTGACCTCGTGTTCCGCCCGTCTCGGCCTCCCAAAGTGCTGGGATTACAGGCGTGAGCCACTGCCCCCGGCCCAAGAATTTACTCTTTACCTAAAGTCACGTTATGGGAAAGACAGAGGGGAAATTGATATTATGATCATAAAGTAACATCTCTCCAAAGATATAGTAAACATACTATGTCCGTCTGTGTGTGTGTGATATGTATGTGTATGTGTATATATATGAAGAATATATGTAACTACATACATAAAAATATAGATAACTATATATAAAACTATGTATGTATTAAAATAATTTACAAAACTTTTTTTTCTAATCGAAGAAAGCAATGTTCCACACTCAGAAACAATTTCTACCTAATTCCCTTTTGGTTTCTAGTCATAGTGTGTTACTTGGATTAAAAACACTTATATAATAATATTCTTTGCAGATAAACACTTAAAACCATAGAATAATATAGCTACATGAAACCTTGGAGGTCACCTGCCTTGGTCCCCTGGCCAATTATATGGTCTTTAGGCTTTGAAACAACTACCTATGTGATCTTTGGTCTTCAGGCTTTGAAAACTAGTAGCTATGTTTTCTTGGGTAAATTTCTTGACCTGTCAAGGACTCAGGTTCTTCATCTGTAAAACTGAGATAAAAGTGTTTTTCTTACTTGAAAGTCTCTTATTTTTATGACTGGCAGCACAGTAGATTTATTTGCACCATCATCACCACATACCCACTAGTAATGCATTGCACTAGGACATTAGGATGACTACAATGTCACTAGGTGATAGGGATTTCTAGCTCCATTATAATCTTATGGAACCACCATTGTATATGCGGTCCATCATTGACTGAAATCTCATTATGCAGCCTATGACTGTATATATACATGCAGAGAAAGAGCGAGAGAGAGGCAGAGAGAGAGAGAGATTGATGATATGTACATTAAACAGGCAGATATTTGCCTTTACAACTGGTAACATTTCAGAGGAATGGACACTTGCCATTTTCAGTTTTAAGGACTATATTTTGCAAGCTAATAGATATTTTCAGGATTTTTTTGCATTTTGAAATATGAATAGTAATCAGTAACCTGATGAATAAAAAGAATATTTTTCTTGAGAGAATTATAAAATGTTTAATGAATCATTAAATGCATATAGAGAGTCAAAGTAGAAGACAACTCTCCACCACCACTGCCACCATCATACAAATGCATATGTATTACAGAACATACACTCTGGAAATGTGAAAATAGAAAGAAGTCAGTTGTGTGATTGAAATACAGTATATAAAGCATTCTTTAGATGACCCTAATGAGAATTAGTACCAAAAGAACGCTAATCATATGTCAAGTGAAACATTTCTATATCTCACTGTATCTATATCTGTGGCTTATCATCAAAACTGGCATCCTGTTTCTTTGCTCAAGTCTTTGCAAGCTACGTTTTTACATTTCAGCTACCATGCAAAAGCGCCTGAAAAAGGAGAAAAAAACCAAGAGAAAATTGCAGGAAGCCTTGGAATTTGAATCAAAGCGCCGAGAGCAAGTGGAGCAGGCACTTAAGCAAGCCACCACTAGTGACAGTGGCCTGAGGATGTTAAAAGGTAATGTCTGATTTGGACTTTCACTCTCAAGGTAAACAAAGCAAAACTGATTCAAGAAAAATAGAAGAAGGAAAAACAAAAACAAAAAAAAAAAAAAAGAGAGGAAAGCAGGAAGAAAGGAAGGGAGAGAGGGGAACGGATATATTTTGTCCAGGAATGATTAAAAAATCAATTTGAGACCAAGTATTTTAGAGCATGAATTAAAACCAGTCAAAATAACCACTGTTCAGGAGATACACATAGCCTTGGAATAATAGGAAATCCTACAGACTTCTGCAGTAGAAGCAATAACACTGATAACCACCCTGCACCTAAAATGTAGGTGCATTAGGTCTATTCATGTTAGAATATGCTGTTGTTTGGTTAACTGTATTTTGATTAGCTATGCAATGCTTGTTCCTTTAATGCAGATTCCATCAGTGTTGCCATGCCTAAGGAATACCAGGTTGAAAAAACATGTTCTGAGTAAATCTCTGCAGATCCTGTAAACGGAGATGCTTGAATTATGAAAGATCTTAATACCAAACTTTTTTGATTCTATTTTTAATTCTGAGGCCTCATAACATTGTTTCATATCACTCAGACCCAATTTCAAGTAAATGTTCAAATAAATGTGTACACACACAAACAGAACCTTTTTACATCAAAATTACTAGCTTTTACCTGAGCAGCACAATCATAAAACATTTGCCCCTAGAGCCAGTAATACATGAAGACCACAAACCATAATGAATATTTTGGTATTCACTTGCACTTTATATATATATACACACGTATATGTGGATATATATATTACACACATATATGTGGATATATATATGTGTGTGTGTGTATATATATATATCATAAATAATATCATGAATCACATCTTATAAAGGGAAAATATAGCATGAGGATGGGGGCAAGTTAACCTGACAGTCTTAGGGGTTTTTAATGGACAGACTATTTTCCTAAGATTTATTTTTAGAGAATGAAAAAAATAGAGGTATTTACAATATACCTAGAAATATATGCTCAATTGTAAAATTCAGCTGCAGTTTATCATCCTCCCTCTTACCATTAAAAACAGACATACAAAAAACGAAAATGCCACCCAAGGACTTACATTATCTATAGAATCAAAGTACTGGCTTACTGGAGTTTTCCCTTTAAGTGAAATCAGGAACCACCTCATTGTACCTTAATCTTGCGTGTCACTTATTTCAGATACTGGAATTCCAGATATTGAAATAGAAAACAATGGGATTCCTCATGACAGCGCTGCTATGCAAGGTACAGTCAACTGCAAACTTGTTTCTATGACTGCTTATTATGTGACCCCTGGGGATGAGGTGGGGATGAGCTCCTATGATGATACTCTTCTTATAAATAAAATAAGTTTTAACCCTTCTTACTTTATGACACAGGAAGCAATTTGCAGTGTTTTTGAGGAAAAGAATACTTAACATGGCTTTGAAAACCCAATAACTATGGTTACATAAGGACTAATAATTTTACATATACAATGTGAGCAAATACGTTTAGCTGTAAAAAGAATACACATTTGTACGTCAGGCATATTCTAAAAATGCATAAATGTGAATGTAATTTACCTTTTCAAAGTGTACAATACCGTGAGGTATTTTTGTAATTTCACCACTTTACCCTTTGTAAAAGCCACAGGTACAATAAGTATAACTTATCAAAAATTTAAAGGTGTTCCAGACAACATTTTTTTCATCCTTTAAATTTTGATGTTAATCTTAGAGACCACTTAAGTATGAAAATCAGAACATGACTTATAATTCGTGATTTCCATGATTATCACAAATGCTTACATCTTTAAAAATATTTGACAATATTTAGTAGTAAGAAAACAGATGACACAAATCAATATAGAATCTCACTGGAGTGCAAAAGCACATAAAAATATGAATTAAATGTGACCACTGAAAATGTTCCCGGTTGATTCCAATGCACTTCTAGACCTTTGCATGCAGATTACATTTATTTTCACATTTATTGTGATAAAATGCCTCACTCTAATAAAAAATAAAGAACATTGTAATGAGAAAACTATTTCCTAACTTTGAAAAATGAAGACAACTATGAATATGTTGCTTGCTGGAATTAATCAGTGCCTTTCTACTGTGTGATGAGTGGATCTACATAAAGGCAACAGAACTGGATGTGACCAAAATATCCATTTTGGTTCATCTGAAGGTCACCATTTTATGTGGTAGCTCCATAAGTTGTTTTACATGTAGTTTTACGAGTCATCTTTATAAAACCAGAAACGTTAGCTCTCATGGATACTCTAGTGATACATGACTGTTGCAGCTGGGTAGACCTAACTAATGCACTAACTATGTTAGGTGTAAAAGCATGCATGCTTACCTCATTCAATGAAGCTTTTGCTGTTTCTTATCCCTTTTTTGCTTGCCTGCTTTATTCCCTCAGCTTAAAGGCTGTGTCTACATGAGCAAAACCAATTCAAATGGAATTCAATTGTCTAACCAATTCATCACAGCAAAATTCATTAAGAAGTGCCCCACTAGTTGTGGGCCGGGTTTTTGAGGTTGCCATCACATACCAGCTCCATGGTAGAGATGAATAGCCTGAAGCAGTGGATCCCTTCTGAATCAGTGACACGCAAATATAGACATAGTCTTTAAGGAACGTTGAACTTGATTATGCCCTGCTTTGAGTGGGTTTAAGGTCAGCTTTGAAACTGGAGAGGGTAATTCGAATACACCACTAGTGAGTTTTATCTTTATTATCTTTTAACCAGTACCTCTGATTTATTGCTGTTCATTTAATTTCTATGATACCTTTAGTTCGTAGTAGTAACATCTTTCTTAACTCTGAGAGAAATACAAGCTTTTGAACTGTCCTAAAATTATTTCATTTCCATGTAGCAAATAGTGATATTTTATTTGTGGGCAATTAGGAGATATAAGCAAAAGGTGGATCCACTCTTCGTTTCCAAATTTTTTTATGAAGTCTACCAAGAATGGCTTTTGCATATTTACTTGTACTTAGGGAAGGACACATTTAATACTTGTTTTCACTGTACATACTTTTAATAAGTTCTACAAGTTTTTACTTGCTAAATATGAGAGAATTAGATTCATCTTAAAAGGATTGAGATGGAATTTATTTTAAAGCAAAGAAGCTGATTTGTATTTTTTTCCAAATTAAAAATTACATTGTCTAGTATTTGTGTTCAATATTGTCTATATATGGTAAAATATGGTAGGTTAATAATTCTTTATTGGATGTCTATCTTTTACATTATATTAAATAAGATTCTATATAAAAGTGATACAAATGAAAAAATACACGTTATCTCTTCTCTTAGCACAACATTTAAGCACTGTAAATGATAAAACCCCTATCATCCCTTTGTGAAAAACTAGAGTTAATGTCTTATGTTAATATGACAGTAGAATCACAATTTAATTTTAAAAAATAGCAAATTTTATTCTTTTAGCCAGGAAAATAGGTGCCTAAAAATATTATCAGAAATAATTTTAAATAGAGTTTACCAAATCAATCAGGTCAAATAATCACCTAAAAATCCCAAACATTTTGCCTATTATTTGTAAAATAATAAAAAATAATAAAAACATTACTTTTGAATATATCTATGAAATTTAGAAAATGTATAATACTCAGAAAATGTGAAAAGCAAGCTTAGCCATTATTTTTCGGTTCTTCCTATTAATTTTGGTTTTGTGAGTCATAGTTCTTTTTTGTGACTTATTTTGATACTGCTTCAATCTTTTCCATCTCCCTTGAAACCTATTTTTTAACTTGGAAGATCATTTCCTATCATTGTTTGTGAGGGTCAGTTCATGTATGCCAATACAATACCATTTCCAAAATTCATCTCCATCACAGGAAAAATTCCAGCATCAGGAAAGTTCTTTCTCTTCCTATTGTCAATAGCTCTGCTAGATAGACATCTGTCATTCACCTAGTACTCTCCCTTTGAAATTCAATTGATTCCACTGTGACATCTTCTTAAGAATTTAAAAGGCACTTGGAAAAACGTTACATGACCACCCTGGAAGCAAAAAAGTCATATCCAGTTTTATGGTAATTTCCACGTGAGTTTTAGTGCAAACAAACTGCACATGTACCAGAAATCTTATATATATAAGATTTTATATATATACTATATATTGTGTATATATATTATGTATTCTATATAATGTATTATATGTAATACATTATATGTATATAATACATCTCTTCAGCTTAGTTATTTCATGTCTTTTATGCTTTGAATGTTGTTTGACAGAGAAGATAATATGCATAGACTAAGTTTCCATCAAAGGATATCTGTATCTTTTATATTTTGGGAGTCTACCATAGCAACTCCTGCAGAATGTTTTCTGGTGATCACACAATGTGTATACACTACTCCAGTGGTTATGTCCGCTATCTCTAGAGATGAAGGATTTGGTGGAGCACTTGTGCTAATGTCATTCCATCCAAATTCCTATAACTCAGTTGAGGGCCTGCAAGATAGCACATCAACCATCTTATCAACCAATCCCTGTTTCACATAAAATAAACATACCGGGTGTCATTAAGTGCACCTTCAGATCAATGATTTTTTTGTAAATGACATTCAAGTGCCATTTGCGTCGTGCATTTTTGCTGATAAAAGCAAATTAAATTAGCACAACTACAAGTGTGCTGATAAAAACTAAAACTGAACAGCAGTACCATTAGCTAACAAAGTAATATTTCTTTTTACTGCGTTCTGCCATTTAGTTATTATCCTATTGGAAATCTAATTATAATCCTTTTACTCCCTAGTCAAACTTCACAGTTTTTGCAAGCTTAGCACTGACAAGTGATTTCATTACATTTGATTGCCTGCGCCCAGATTGACTTAACTTCACTTGGAGGCCTAAAAGCCCTCTCAGTTTCTCAGATTCCCTGTTTGCACATTACTGCAACAGCTCCTTTAATTAATTAGCATGAACAGCAGTAACATGAACTGCTGAACAGAAAATAACATCATTTTATGATCTCAGGGAGACTTCTCCTTTCGCATGTTTATACCTTCGTTAACTTTTGTATGACTATATTTCATTGTTAGTGGCTAGTGGTATAGTTGACAGTGCATGTTTCCTACATTTAAAAAAAATTGAAGTTAACATCTTAATAACAATAGGTAAAACAAAAACAGAATATGAAGCTCCTACTTTTTAGAAAATAGACAACTGTCACCATGAACTGACTTTATAGTAATAAAATAAAATAATAAATTTCAGGGGAGATAACATCATAAAGTACAAGGGCACAGTGACATACTGCCCCTGTATCTGCCACTGCATTTGCTTGAGGAAAAAAAATAAACCACAAAATGTTTCACTGTGTTTTGCCCATGGAATGTCAATCTCTGTGAATAATTTTTACATTTTCTTTTATGTATACATGTTTGACAAAGACACAAGATGATTTAGCACTGGAATATATTTTCCTCTGATATTTTTTCCATAAATGTAGTAGCATCCTAAATAAATTTTTTATTCCTTTTGCTACTGAAACACTAGAAGTAGATATTAAGTCAAATCTACATGTGAAAGGAAACCAAAATGTCATGTAAAAGTAAAACTACTAGAACTTTTTTTTTTTTCTGAACTATTTTTGCTCAGAAAAAAAGGGATCTTATAAAGAGTACAGACTGGTCATTCAAAGATACAAAAGTCATGATCTCATCTATGCAGTACCTGGTGAAGGTGCCACTGAAGAATTAAAAGCAAAAAAAGTGTCATTTGACTGCAAAAGCAGCAAATATTATTTTAACATCTATTATATTAAAAATTATAGTCTAGGGCATAATTTAATATGCATAGCTTATGGCCTAGAACATTTAATATATATTCATAATATGAAATATATGTGAATATGTCTATTTTCATCAATTCTCTCAAAATCAATTTGAACAGTGTATATCCTTCCTTGACCCCTTAGACCTCCTTATTATCTTTTCTCTTTGGTTCTTGCTTACTAACCTAAAACAACATTCCTCTAAAGAATTTAAGATGCCATGCCAATATTTCCTAAAAACAACTACCCTTGGGATAGGATTATCACTGTAGAATTAGGAAGAATAGTAAGAAAAGTGATAGTAAGAGCATGAAAGGGAGCCAGAAAAAATACATCATGTATGATTTATTGGCAACTATGTGATATGACAAGAAAAATTAAAAGGAAAACAGATGGAATTTTATTATAGGCTTTTCTAATTTCCTCCACCACAGTGTGCTCTC